GTAAACTGCCGTCGCGGGCTGTGGTGCAATCGCCGAAGCACAGTATTGATGCCATTTCGGAATCCCAAAATTTGCCAGAAAGGATTTTAACACCAATTTTAGTTTTTTTGGGATATTTTTAGGTACGTGAAGCATGTTTTAATCTCCGTAAGAAAATTCAGAAAATCTAGAGATCGCTAATAGGCGCAGTAGAAAGTTTGGTGTTTCCGAAATAAATCGGGTAAGGATCATTCACTATTTTCAACGTTACGAGAAATTGAGACTTAATAATTAATAATTGTATATTTTTATAAAAAAAATAGAGAATATTAAAAATAATTACAGCTTATTTAGTGGAGCCGGAACCAGTTAATATATGATCCTTTCGATTTCTTATTTATTTTACTGTATTGCCTATATTTGGTTACTATTATATTATGTGTAACTCAATTGATGATTTTTATGGTCTTTTTGGTTATTTAGTTATTTGTTTCCCCTGCATTATGTGTCAATATTTCGATTATTGGTTATTTGATTGTGTTAAACTATATAGTTGTTTAAGCGAACTATGAGTATAAAATGATATATGGTTATTGCGTGGTTAATTGTTATACTGATGGAAATCTGTATGGGAATGACTTACTAGGTACCCGGGAAAGGGCGGACGGGCTCGGTATATAGGGAACCTTACCGTAAACATATCTCAGTCGGACGGGACTAAGAAGTCCCTTACCAGTAAGGTTTGGAAGATATTGTTTACATTCATACCAGACAAGATATCAAGATGGTGGAATGTTTGGCGCCCATTATCAAACTGGGTATGAGGATGACCGGTTAATTATTTAATTAGATAGTGAGTTCACGAGTAGGAGGACATCTCTATGGACCCCCAAGGGTACCAGTAAGTATAAAATGTAAAATAATCGTTTCTTATTATCTTATATATAATAAATAATAGTGCATGAATATGAATTTTCATAAGTTATTGTTGTAAAGGACTTGTTACACTATATAGAATAAATGGTTTTCTTTATAATAAATGAATTTACATTAAATTAAGAGTTCTATTGATTGTTTTTCTGATTTTTACCAATCTTCATTTTTTCGTATCAGTGATTAGTGTAATATTGTTACTAGGCTAATGTAACTTACCCTTTCATTAACCATTTCAAATAAAGAGAACTAAGATCCAGATCTCGATCAACAAAAAGATTGTGAATAGTTCATCATTCGTACTCTTTTCAAGAGATAGTGAAGGTCATTCTACAATTGTTTAGTTATTTACCTTTTGTTTATTTTTTTATTTTTATTTATTTTTTTAAAATAGACATTTTCGTAATTTTATTGAGCATTCTAAAGTATTGTATAAGAAATGTAAACCCTAATTTTATTATTTCGTTTCCGCATTTAATTTATGACTTTATTTCCATTTAAATTCCAGATCTTTTCATATTCTTAATATAAT